GCTGTTCCCTAACTACCTCTCCCTTGCTCTACTATTCCCCTCACTACGTCTCCCATGGTGTACTGTTCCCCTCACTACGTCTCCCATGGTGTACTGCTCCCTAACTACCTCTCCCTTGGTGTGCTGTTCCCTACGAACTCCACCTTGGTGTACTGTTCCCTAACTACCTCTCCCATGGTGTACTGTTCCCCTCACTACGTCTTCCATGGTGTACTGTTCCCTAACAACCTCTCCCATGGTGTGCTGTTCCCTCACTACGTCTCCCATGGTGTACTGTTCCCTAAAAACCTCTCCCATGGTGTACTGCTCCCTAACTACCTCTCCCTTGGTGTGCTGTTCCCTAACTACCTCTCCCTTGGTCTACTATTCCCCTCACTACGTCTCCCATGGTGTACTGTTCCCTAACTACCTCTCCCATGGTGTACTGTTCCCCTCACTACGTCTCCCATGGTGTACTGTTCCCTAACTACCTCTCCCTTGGTGTACTGTTCCCCTCACTACGTCTCCCATGGTGTACTGCTCCCTAACTACCTCTCCCTTGGTGTGCTGTTCCCTTGGTATACTATTCCCCTCACTACGTCTCCCATGGTGTAATGTTCCCTAACAACCTCTCCCATGGTGTGCTGTTCCCTCACTACGTCTCCCATGGTGTACTGTTCCCTAACAACCTCTCCCATGGTGTGCTGTTCCCTCACTACGTCTCCCATGGTGTACTGTTCCCTAAAAACCTCTCCCATGGTGTGCTGTTCCCTAACTACCTCTCCCTTGGTGTGCTGTTCCCTAAGACCTCTCCCTTGGTGTACGGTTCCCCTCACTACGTCTCCCATGGTGTACTGTTCCCCTCACTACGTCTCCCATGGTGTACTGCTCCCTAACTACCTCTCCCTTGGTGTGCTGTTCCTTAACTACCTCTCCCTTGGTATACTATTCCCCTCACTACGTCTCCCATGGTGTAATCCGTTCCACTCAAAACCACTCCCATGGTGTTCTACCCCTCACTACGTCTCCCATGGTGTACTGCTCCCTAACTACCTCTCCCTTGGTGTGCTGTTCCCTCAGACCTCTCCCTTGGTGTACGGTTCCCCTCACTACGTCTCCCATGGTGTACTGTTAACTACCTCTCCCTTGGTGTGCCCTCACTACTCACTCTCCCATGGTGGAATGTTCCCTAACTACCTCTCCCTTGGTGTGCTGTTCCCTAACTACCTCTCCCTTGCTCTACTACTCCCCGCACTACGACTCCCATGGTGTCCTGTACCCCTCACAACGTCTCCCATGGTGTACTGCTCCCTCACTACGTCTCCCATGGTGTACTGCTCCCTAACTACCTCTCCCATGTTGTACTGATCCCTAACTACCTATCCCATGGTGTACTGTTCCCTAACAACCTCTCCCATGGTGTGCTGTTCCCTCACTACGTCTCCCATGGTGTACTGTTCCCTAAAAACCTCTCCCATGGTGTGCTGTTCCCTAACTACCTCTCCCATGGTGTACTGTTCCCTAACAACCTCTCCCTTGGTGTGCTGTTCCCTAACTACCTCTCCCTTGGTGTACTGTTCCCTAACTACCTCTGCCTTGGTGTACTGTTCCCTAACTACCTCTCCCTTGGTGTACTGTTCCCCTCACTACGTCTCCCATGGTGTACTGCTCCCTAACTACCTCCCTTGGTGTGCTGTTCCCCTACCTCTCCCTTGGTGTACTAACTACGTCTATGGTGTCTCCCATGGTGTACTGTGTACTGCTCCCTAACTACCTCTCCCATGGTGTGCTGTTCCCTAACTACCTCTCCCATGGTGTACTGTTCCCTAACAACCTCTCCCTTGGTGTGCTGTTCCCTAACTACCTCTCCCTTGGTGTACTGTTCCCCTGACTACGTCTCCCATGTTGAATTGCTCCCTAACTACGTCTCCCATGGTGTACTGCTCCCTAACTACCTCTCCCATGGTGTGCTGTTCCCTAACGACCTCTCCCATGGTGTACTGTTCCCTAACTACGTCTCCCATGGTGTGCTGTCCCCTAACTACCTCTGCCTTGGTGTACTGTTCCCTAACTACCTCTGCCTTGGTGTACTGTTCCCTAACTACCTCTCCCTTGGTGTATTGTTCCCCTCACTACGTCTCCCATGGTGTACTGCTCCCTAACTACCTCTCCCTTGGTGTGCTGTTCCCTAACTACGTCTCCCTTGGTGTACTGTTCCCTAACTACGTCTCCCATGGTGTGCTGTTCCCTAACTACCTCACCCTTGGTGTACTGTTCCCCTCACTACGTCTCCCATGGTGTACTGCTCCCTAACTACCTCTCCCTTGTTGTACTGTTCCCTAACTACGTATCCCATGGTGTACTTTTCCCTAACTACCTCTCCTTGGTGTACTGTTCCCTAACTACGTCTCCCATGGTGTACTTTTCCCTAACTACCTCTCCCTTGGTGTACTGTTCCCTAACTACCTCTCCCTTGGTGTACTGTTCCCTAACTACAGTTCCTCGCTCTCACTTGCTCTCTCTCTCTCTCACACCAGTTTTACAGTTTCCCTCTCTCTCTCTCTCTCTCTCTCTCTCTCTCTCTCTCTCTCTCTCTCTCTCTCTCTCTCTCTCTCTCTCTCTCTCTCTCTCTCTCTCTCTCTCTCTCTCTCACTCACCAGTTTTACAGTTTCCCTCTCTCTCTCGTCCTTCACTTGTACCTTAACTTTCTTCCTTCTTTACTGATTTATCTGTGCATTTTTAATAATTCCTATTTAAATGACTTTGTTTTGTATTGAACACATTTATTCCACTCATCCGCTACCCGGTATATCTAACGGAACCGTGAACTTCTAATGAAATAAAGCATGATGTACACTCCACCTGACTACACTATGGATAATATGATATACCCGTAAAGGAACCAGCCCATCCACTTTACTAGCCACTGTCACAAATATAAATCATTTTTATTTTTTTCTATAATAGATATACTTGGATATGATTGTACATTATGGGCTGAAAAATGTTAATAGAATTGCCGTCGTTTTAAACTTAAAGGCTGTTTTTACTTGAAAAATTATTAGAGAGGATGTTCTCAGTGTTAAGAAACACGAGTGAAACACTCGTTATCAACATTTTCAATTTATATGTTTGAGACAGAATCTTGCCTCGCCTAAGCTTTCAGACATCACAGGTAAAACTGTTCTTGAAATAAAGATCAGGTAGATATATATATTAACCAATAAAATTCAACACTCGGACATCGAAAAGATAAAAAAAACCAAAAAATTGCAGGTCAAAGCGGCAAAATATATTTGTATTATTATTACCTTAATAGAATTAGAGTTTTCTGATTAAGATGACGGTACGTTGTATCACATGGTCTCTAAAGGCCAACGACAACAGTTGATTGCCTCTACAACACAGGTGATATAATTCACTGAACAAACTTTATATCTATAAGATTTTACATTATGTAGCACTAAAAAAGTTTTATTCTACATTTAACGTTTTTATATCCACACGACGTCTTTGAAAAAGGGATGTAGATTCACCTGATACTTTAACAGGCTAACTTAGTAGTTTTACAGGGTTTTGTTACTGACTGGAGAACCGAGATATCTGCAAACTCGATCAATGGGCACAATCTAACAACTTAAGAAATACGATGTCTGCTTTCTGTTTGGTGTATAAATCAAGATTTATTTCAATTTACACATGTAAGTATCAGAGATTGAAATGCTAAATTCATGATTCATTCTTATCTGTATGTTCACGTAACAGAAGGAATAGGTCGGATGTAGTTTTATATACGTACTGACACGCAAAAGAAACGGAAACGCAAGCTCTAATTTTTGGTAATATTTTTATAATTGAATTCGAATGCATCGACTTTTTTTATTCAACCAGTTTAAGATAAACATTTATTCTATTGGTAACACAGTAAATTTAGATTTAGCAATCATCACTTTAGCAAGAAATATCAAGGCTGAAGCCATTGAAACTGACTTCTATAACGCGTATGTTTGTGCAGATCCAAACCGGTTGCGCAAGTACTGAAACCTCATGAAACGATCCTGACGAAGCTTCGTAACCTTCGGTCGTGGTAGGCAGTTGTACCAGTCAGTTTAAGGCGTCTGTTGGGACGAGACCAATAGAATCTTACAGGGGTATCCTGTGGACAGGGATATCTCACCATGAGTGCAAAAGTTAGACTGGTCAGTATTAGCTATTCATGGAACAGGCCCATGTTTGATTCTTTGTATAAATTACAACTTGAAACATGCTTGTAGCGCTTTCATCCCTAATAACCACAGGATCAGCTTGTGAAGAATGCGAGAAATTGTTCTTTTGTGGACATCGCCAGCGTTTGGGGGTGTTGCCAGCCAACATAACTACACTGTTTTTTTATATCTAATGGTAGTTTGACATGTAATATGTAACATGTAAATTATTCTTAAATTCTTCTTAAAACGACAATTTGTCCTAATAACACCTAACAAATTTTGTGGGATATCCTATATTATATTTTTGTATGCCTGGTAAGTCCTTTATACAATATACCAATAGGCTAGACAGAGCTCTCTTTAGATCGATCGGTTGAGAGTCAGACTTGCAAGCAGGGGGTCTTGGGTTCGAATTCTAGCCGATGTATTGAAATTTAACAATGCCCTCCGTAACATTGGCGCCCATTTAGGTACTCGGGAATAATACTTAGCCGTGCCGCATGTGCACCACTAAAACACCTGGAAAACTCGAGGACGAATTCTTTTCTGGAAACGGAGTATGCATCTGGCAAATACTAGTCAGAATATACCGCTCGGCTAGAGAGACCTTCCCTTTTGTTCGACCGTCAGACTGGTAAACAAGAGGTCCCGAGTTCGAATCCTGGCAGAGTCATTAAAATAAATAAGGACCTCTGTTAGTGAATGAATATATTCAAATAGACGAATGAAATGACGCCTAAATGAGTATACATGAAATGTCTTTGATCTACATGTGTATGTAGTATTCCTGGTGATTTCGTTGTCTCGACAGTTCTACTGTTGCGAATGTGACATCACTTGCATTGAGATTGACCCAGATTTAATAGGGGATGGCGGTTGTGATGCGGGTACTGGTTTGGTGTTGATGGGGATGGGGTGTTGGTGGGATGATGATAGGGGTGAGAGTGTTGATGTAGTGAAAGTGTTGATGGGGTGAGAGTATTGATGGGGGTGTGATGGGGGTGTTGATGGGAGTGTTGATGGGGTGAAAGTGTTGATGGGGGTGAGAGTATTGATGGGAGTGAGAGTGTTGATGGGGGTGAAAGTGGTGATGGGGCGAGAGTGTTGATGGGGGTGAGAGTGTTGATGGGGGTGAGAGTGCTGATGGGGGTGAGAGTGTTGATGGGGGTGAAAGTGTTGATGGGGTGAGAGTGTTGATGGGGTGAAAGTGTTAATGGGGGTGAGAGTGCTGAAAAGGGGTGAGAGTGTTGATGGGGCTGAGAATGTTGATGGCGATGTTGATGTGGGTGAGAATGTTGATGGGGTGAGAGTGTTGATGGCGGTGTTGATGTGGGTGAGAGTGTTGATGGGGTTGAGAGTGTTGATGGGGTTGAGAGTGTTGATGGGGGTGATAGTGTTGATGGGGGTGTTGATGGGGGTGAGAGTGCTGATTGGGGTGAGAGCGTTGATGGGAGTGAGAGTATTGATGGGGTTGAGAGTAGAGTGTTGATAGGGGTGAGAGTATTGATGGGGTGAGAGTGCTAATAGGGTGAGAGTGTTGATGGGATGAGAATGTTGATGGGGTGAGAGTGTTGATGGGACTGAGAATGTTGATGGCGGTGTTGATGTGGGTGAGAGTGTTCATGTGGGTGAGAGTGTTGATAGGGCTGAGAATGTTGATGGCGGTGTTGATGTGGTATGTTGATGGGGTGAGAGTGTTGATGGGGCTGAGAATGTTGATGGCGGTGTTGATGTGGGTGAGAATGTTGATGGGGTGAGAGTGTTGATGGGGCTGAGAAAGTTGATGGCGATGTTGACGTGGGTGAGAGTGTTGATGGGGTTGAGAGTGTTGATGGGGGTGAGAGTGTTGATGGGGGTGATAGTGTTGATGAGGGTGTTGATGGGGTGAGAGTGTTGATTGGGGTGAGAGTGTTGATGGGAGTGAGAGTATTGATGGGGTTGAGAGTATTGATGGGTTGAGAGTGTTGATAGTTGTGAGAGTGTTGATGAAGGTGAGAGTGTTGATGGGGTTGAGAGTGTTGATGGGGGTGAGAGTGTTGATGGAGGTGAGAGTGTTGATGGAGGTGAGAGTGTTGATGGGTTGAGAGTGTTGATGGGGGTGAGAGTGTTGATGGAGGTGAGAGTGTTGATGGGTTGAGAGTGTTGATAGGGGTGAGAGTATTGATGGGGTGAGAGTGCTAATAGGGTGAGAGTGTTGATGGGATGAGAGTGTTGATGGGGCGAGAGTGTTGATGGGGCTGAGAATGTTGATGGCGGTGTTGATGTGGGTGAGAGTGTTAATGGGGCTGAGAATGTCGATGGCGGTGTTGATGTGGGTGAGAGTGTTGATGTGGGTGAGAGTGTTGTTGGGGCTGAGAATGTTGATGGCGGTGTTGATGTGGGTGAGAGTGTTGATGTGGGTGAGTGTGTTGGTGAAGTCGTAGATAAAGCAGAAGACTCTTATCGTTTTGGAACTTCTGGTCGGATTTCACTTGTTTTTCTAGCACAAATTTTCCTTTGTTCGTGTTTGAGTTTGAATCAGAAATTTGCTGACATGGCGATAGTTACTTGTTGTTTTCAGTAAATATGTGTATACGTTACCCTACCCATCCCTACACACTATCATATATCGAAAGACACGCTTTTATGGAAAAAAAGGCTGTATGTTGTGTTTACGGAGACAAAACGTGTTAAATACTTGATGTTTTAGAAATAATGCGATGTCACTGTTACCTTGCTCAGCATGTGCACGTGCGTACCCGAGATCCAGTTTCTCCTACTCTTTAACACTCACAGGAAATACAAGACTTTAAATGTAAAACATGTTACGTAAATTATCGTATTACCGCGTCTCTGATAGCATGTGTCCATTATTACAGAAGCTGTTGTGTCAAGTACACATGTCACAGCGATCCTGTTTCTATTTTACGACCAAAATCATTTCATGTAACAATGTTTTATATCGTTCTGACATTTAAGTCGGCAAGTTACATTTTTTACGTGAAACAATCGTGCATTGAGTCGAACATCAGTGCCCAGAATATTTCTTATAGAGAATAACAACACATTTCATCGGTCATTTTTATTTTATGCTCAATTTATCCTCAGAGAAAATACCTTGTCCTGAATGTTACTGGAAAATGGAAATTCAGTATCTGATATTAATCTCAAAATTCACATTCACAGCCCTAGAAAAAAAGTTGTTTACAAAACTAGAAAACAACATTCAAGCAAAACTTTTCATATTCTATTTTAACAGCCAGAAGACAACAATTTGCATCAACTGTGCTCCGAAGAGTTTTTTACCAATCTTCAACGTCCTGTTAAACCTATCTTCAGTAAGAACATTTTATTTGTCTACTCTGTACACCGCTATACCTATTCTAAACTGAAGGAAAACCTTCGTTCCCTAGTTATAGAGATTTCTTTTCTAAGAACGGTGGTACAAATATATGGAACTATATTGAAGTCTATTTCGTGAAAAATCAAAGAATCAATATACGGAGGAGGAAATAGTTAAATGCTCGAATGCCTGGCTGACAATATCTTCGTTCAGATTGTCGACATACAAAACTATGCTCCTGTAATAGCTGACTTATTTTCCTTCACATAATTCTCAAACAAAGACTATACGAAGTCCTTCAATGGCACTTTTAATTGATATCGATGATGTCTGGTCTTTAATTAACAAGAATTTAAGTGACCACGTCAGTCGTATATACCCAGCAGTATTGGAAATCAAAGACACGACATACTTCTTTTCAAACAACGAAATCGACATGGACAGCTGTCCACCAAGCTGAATGATAAGCGTGATGACATAAATGCCCCTGGCGTTAATTTTCCATTTCTCTATAGCAACACCCAGCATCCCCAACCTGTGATATTTATAGAACAAAGGTACCAAGATTTTCCTACCGGATGCCGTCAAATGACAGCCGTTTTAAGGTTGCCATAATTATCTCATTGCGAAATATTCCATTTCTTTGCTGAACCCGTTTCACACTTACAATAACTACTTCTAGAGCACGAAACAATATACCAGCCACTAGGACAATTTTTTAGGAGCATAGGAAACCATATCACAGCGATGAGACAAACAAACCCTAAACATATTATGAGAGTTGTCTTTATGGTGGACTGTACTTGTTCTTCACTGGATACATAGTTTTCCATAGGAATACATTTGGCTTGTGGTTCCGTTGTTGTATACTTTGTTCTCATTTGATAACGTGACATTACTCGCTTGGATTGCCCAATGTTTACATAGGACGTGTCGTCGATGAAGCAGAAGACGCTTACTCTTCCGGAACATCTTATCTTATTCTCCTTGTACTTTTTCAGGAGTATTCGTGTCAATCTTCCTTTTGTCCATATTTTGTCATGATTTTATTGAATTTGAGTTCGGATTAGGATTTTGTCGACATGTTGGTATTTTCTTGTTGTCTTTTCTTAAGACTAATGTATCCCATCATTTTCGTTGTTGCACCTTTGATTTGAAATAAATGTTGCTCTCTGGATCCATTGACATTGCAATATATCCAGCATCAATCTTTGAAACACTTACTTATAGATAAACGTTGAAGGTATCCTTTGTCCTAAAGATAAAGTAATAAGTCTTGACGTGTTAGAATCTTCTGGTCACACCCAGTCATTTGTTGGGAATGGAGAAGATATTTACTATACCCATACTGCGAACCTGCTATCATTGAGGCGGCAAACAATGAACCTATTCTCCCGAGAGTCCCAGATACTATATCCAACCTTACATCTTACTTACACGATATAAGTAAGGATTACCTATATATAACAAACATAATATGGGGTTGGATCTGTAAATGACAACAAATTGTACGTGAACGCGCACACTCAATATTAATCCTGCTGAATAATACGGCAATTATAATCAGCCTCCTCAATTCATTCATGGAGCTGAAAAAGACAGCACCTGGACTTGTTAGCTGGGGAAAATCAACAGTTTACGAATAGCAAAATTGTTTTTAATAAATTATTGAAAAGAAGTTCCTGTGCATTTTGACATTTGAATAATCTTCGTATCTAGAATGCGCTGATCATTTCAGGTTAATTAAAACCACTTAAAATTATTAAAGAGTACGGATAGGTTAAGCTGTGTGGGTTGACGAGGCGGAACCAAGGTATCCGACCTCGTCAGAACAAGCTTGAGTACAAAGGATATCTAACGCTGGAACTTAGCTCTGCTACATCATTATTTACAATTTACTATTAAAGATAAATCTAAATGTGTCTTTTATGTGGCATAATATTTCATTTGATTGAATAGATATCACCTAGTACCAATTCTCTATTAATTGTAGCCATTTAAGTCGCTGTCTTTTCGCCTTGGAATTTCTCTATGTTTATGGCCATGAAGATATTTTTATACTGTATATATTCAAATTTGTATGCTACAAACTATGTGTTTATTCACGCTGTATCCTGATACCGCTAGCATATAAAACCTCAGCTTACAGTTTCCATGTGTCTTGACGACAGGAATAAAGAGAATTAACACTACTGGGCAAAACTATTAGATATTTGTGCATGTCGCCGCTCCCTGAAGCGAAGAGAGAACACTTGTCACGGAAAAGGCAAGAATGCCGTTAACTTTGATGTGTAACATTTAAAACGTTAAATACATGCAAAAGGCATGTCCCAGACGTTAAAAAGTAAACACATTTGCAAACCAGAATCTCAAAACGAAATAAAATCTCTTCACCTGTTCATGTGCGCATGCTCGATCACAATGTGAATCCTAATCACACGCACTTAAAGTCGTAAATTTTAAAAAATCCATTTTATGTTAATTATTTCAACAAGATAAAGTTGCGATAACCAGATGATTTGAGTTTTCACGAGTACGGCGATAGTCGGCGACATCGTTTTTGATGCAATATAGCAAACATGACCTGTGTCTTTGGGGAAAAAGGTAAAGAAATAATTTTCCTTCACAAAAGTATCTGAAGTTGTGATAGGTGTAAGGACAATTTCTCCAATGCACATTCTAGCTCACAAACAGGTTACGTATTTGAAGATTTTTATTTATTTTATTGTATTAAGGTTACCGAGTACCAAATTGTATTTTGATGATTTGTTTCTGGTGTTTTTTTCAAGCTCATTCTTTTCAATTTTCGAATGTGTACTTTTGTAGCTGTATGTGGAGTTTTGTTAAGAATCCGCGTGGCACGGCTGGACCTTTTCATTGGAGCTGCTTCTCTCCACAAGCATTTTGTTCCGGCATAGATTGTTGACTAGTTGTCTGTGCAGAATAGAAATTGAATTCAATATGTTCCTTGACACCACAATGAACCCAAACGTGGTCAAGTAATGTTGTAAAACATGTAAGCGACACTAAGAGTATATTATGTAACTACTAAAATAGAAAGTATGTCAAATAAACAGACGAGAAAACGATTGTGGACATTCTACATCCCTATACGGCAGGTACCGAGGACTTTAATTGACCGTGCCAAGTCTTTTCTGGGGAAACGCAAACACTCCAAGCTTTCTGGAGCAGGGTGTAAAAATAACACTGGTAGACGACTCATGTGGACATAACCCCCTCCCGGGAACACCGGGGGACCCACGTGATAAGTCTGTTTGTTTTCCGGCTATTATTGGCCTAGGAATCTCATAGTTTAACACACACACACTGCTCACATTGGATTCTTATACATGTATGTGTGCTGATTAAAACGGTTCTTAGGATTTTAACTTTGTTATAACCGTGGTTTTGTTTAGGATCTAAATAAAAATCGTTCATGGTTTGATGACTGACTTCAATATGCAAGATAAATAGCGGAACAAACATATGCAATAATACATAAGAATGGTAAATCAAATACATGTGGTATTTCCTGAAGAGTACAGACACTTTTGGTATTATGACAAGAATTTTTAAGATATGTAGCTTTCTATTTCCCTTATATAACATGGACGTTAAAAATCCTAAACATCTTCATAATCTGCTCCTTCAACATATAATTAATATATATGTCAATATTGTTCGTTGTACCTACTGTTACTGTCATCAAACACTTCTTCAATATACCACATGTTACCGTCATCAAACACTTCTTCAATATACCAAATAGTACCGTCACTGAAATATTTTTCAATATTATGTGTTATATGTAATACTTTTGTGATATTCTTTTTTTAAATGTCAACATACCATTTCCTTTTTTCTGTAGTTCTGTATTCCAAAATCAACACACGATACCTAGCTTTCCTGAATCACCAAGCAATGGGTCCCGTATCCAAAGATTGTATAAAAGACAGACACGTGTATGACACCTTTTAATAGGTGATTCAGTATCCTCAACTTAAATATCAATAGATGTGAATTAACATCTTCGTATCTTTACTGTTTAACATCTTTTTCTTTTCTTGTTTTCATTTATTTTTTTTTTTTTTTAGATTTAAGCGTCTTAACTTGATA